CATCCCACTCATTTTCTTCATTCATCAACCTTTCCGTATGGGCTTTCCACACCTGTGCTTTTTTCTTCTCATCTATGCACAACTTGCCAGATCCATCCCAAACATATCCATTCCCTATAACATCTTTCCTATCCCTCATTGACTGCTTTCCTACTTTGAACATTTTCCTCGAACTCACATAAAATTCCATTTCCCTCATTAACCTATCTGATGCTTTCGTCATTGCAATTGCCACTGCCCGTTTTGCAACCTTCTTAGCCTTTCTGTACTCAAACTCCGCTTCCCCCGTCATGTCCCTTCTCCACACCCTAAACTTTTCCTTCTTGACCTCCAAAACTTTTCTTATATCTTCATCCCACCACCACGTCTCACCATGCCTACATTTTCCTTTTGTCCATCCACATAATTTATCTGCCGTAGTCAACACACAGTCCCTATATCTCTCCCAAACACTTCCATCCTTAACACTCTACCAACTTTCAGCCACCTTCACTTCAAATGCCTTCCTCACCTCTGCATCCTGTAACTTCCATGTCTTTCTCTTTGCCACACCTTCATATCCGTCTGCATCCGCCCCCACATGACCATTCAAATCACCCAACAACACCACAAACTCATCCAACCCGCTTGCCCAATCTCGTCAGAAACACCATCATAAAACCATCATCATTTTGATTGTGCATAAAAATTGATGATAATGATTTATGGCAAATTGATGATAATGATTTATGGCAAAATTCAAGCTTTTTTCAAAGCCGAGAAAATACAAATTTATAGAAAATAGTAAGCAATGTTTTATCTAATTGCGAAAATATTAAAATAATAAACAGTTCTAAGTTTGTCGGAGCTATACAATTTTTGTTGTAACTTGTTGAATGCAACCGCTTTAGTATAAACATTAGTTTTTGATAAATTTTAAAACAAATTCATTTCCTTTAATCAATTCCTACTTACGAATGGATTACTGTTGCTGTAGGCCACCTAGTGGATGCCAAACAAACTCTTGATCACTGACTTCTCGTGATTGCTGCTTCTTAGTAAAATTTTACACACTTTTTTTATTTTGTTATATGTATTCATCATCAACAACAACCGCCATACTATTAATGACCGCGAAAACCCCATTATCATCTTTTCTGCCACTAGTACTATCATCAACACTATATATATGTATTCATCATCAACAACAACCGCCATACTATTAATGACCGCGAAAACCCCATTATCATCATTTCTGCCACTAGTACTATCATCAACACTATTAATATTATTGTTACCACTATTATTATTATTATTATTATTATTAAATAGGATTTTATAATTATTTCATTATTAATATTTGGTATTATTATTATTATTATTATTATAAAACATGAGAGTCGAATTTTCGCGGTTCACTGTTTTTAGAGTAATATTCATGTTTTTAGAACGTTTTAAAGTACAAAGTTTGTTATTTTAGATAGGAAATGTTATTTGCTGCATAAACTGGATTAAATTTAATCTTAAATTCAAAATTTTGCTTAATTTTACAAGTGTTTAAAGTTTAATTCGTTTTTTAATAATGGCTGTCAAAACTAAATGCCCGCATTGTTTAAAAGACTTTATTTGTAACAATAAACACCTGTGGCGGTGCACAAAATTATCTATACAATCTAATATCAACGCTAATAACATAACAAATGATAATATTTCAAATTCAGTAAATATCCAAGAAAATAATCTGAACTCTTTAATTGATAATAATTTACCTGTCAATTCGGATAATTTGTATAATTTACCTGCCAATTCGGATAACAGGAATAATTTACTGAAAAATTCAAATAGTTTGTCTGAAAATTCGAATAATTCAGATAGTTTAATAAAGTGCTGCTGTGGAAAGTTTTGTAAAGGACGGACAGGATTAATAATGCATAAAAGATCATGCCAAACGTCCAAGCTTCTGTATTTTCATCCAGTGGTTGACAAAGAGTCTGCCTCGACGACTGCAACGCTCAACAACGCTCAAAAATCGCCATCGACATCGACAACAGAAGATGCTTTCACATCTACAACTTTAAACAGCGTTCGTCTACCAATGCCGCCATCGTCGTCGTCAGGTGTGGCCACTTCCTCAATTACAGAACTCAACAAAGTCCACCGGTCGCCACCGCCGTTGTCACCTAATGAGGCTACTTCTGAGTTTAAGCAAATCAACAGCATACAACAACCAACACAGTCGTCGTCGCCAGTGGAGGCCCACACTGCTCCATCCGCCAGACTCCTGCCAGGTATAAAACTTCCCCGTACAAGACGAGATTGGGAAGAGGCAAACGCATATTTCCATGCTGAGTTAAATTCAGTTCAACAATTTAATTTACAAATATTTTGAAAAATCTCATGGTACCATTAATAAAAGAATAACAATAGACCAAAACCGTTCAATTAACCAACTGAAAAAAGATTTGGCCAAACTAAAAAAAAATTGTAAAAAACAATAACAGCCAACAAATCAAAAAAGAAATTATCTCAACAAGTAAACTAATTAGAACAAAATTGAGATACAAAAAGGCTGACCGCAAGAACGATATTGCGCAACAACTAAAAAAAAATTTCTGGAAAACGTGCCAAAATAGTTTTTTTGCCAACGAAACAAGTGTCACCACTGTTCGATGTAGACACCGGATATACGTATTACAAGTCCTCAGCTAAAAACAGTGGCAACAACACTTTTCATAAACCAGATTGGATACATTCTTTACAAATTCCATCACAAAATTGCAACAGTGACCCACCAAGTTACAACGAAATGGTTTCGGCCATACATAAAATAAAGTTCAAATCCTCGCCATGCCCTCTAGACCAAATTTCAATAATAGTATTTAAAAGATGTCCAATACTAAGAACATTTTTACACAAATTGATAATAAAATGCTGGTCAACTTCATCCATTCCAACATGTTGGCGTAAAGGTTTAACAATATTAATCTACAAAAAAGGAGACGCCAAAGACCCTGCAAACTTCCGGCCTATTACACTGCAGCCAATACCCTACAAAGTATTTTCTGCTGTCATCAAAAATAGACTATATCAATTTTTAGAAAGTAATAAGTACCTCAACAAAAATATTCAAAAAGGATTCTATCCGTCGATTGATGGACTCACAGAGCATACACAAATGCTTACCCATCTATTAAATGACGCTAAAAGACACCAAAGGACAATCATCGTAACATTACTAGATTTGCGCAACGCCTTTGGTGAGGTAAGCCATGGATTGAGTTAATGCCCATCCATTATCACGTTCCACCTCCAATATCTAATTTGATAGGTTCAATCTACTCTGATTACTCAATAATGGTATCAATCAATGGTAGTCTAACCCCTGCAATTCGAATCAGAAAAGGTGTACTACAAGGGGATCCATGTTCTCCGATCCTCTTCAATATGTGTTTTAATCCGCTGATGAAAATTTTGGAAGAAAGCGAGTATCGTCAATGTGGCTACATTTGGGGTCCTTCGGCTGAACTTAAATCCAGATCCTGGCTACAATTTGCCGACGATTCGGCAATCATTGCACACAGCACGGGAGAAGCGCAAACATTGATCAATCTGAATCAAGCATGGTGCAAGTGGTCGGGAATGGAAATGAGAATCGACAAATGTATTACGTTCGGGATGAGGAAAAAAGATGGCAATTATGAACAATTTATGCCAAGACTGAGTATAGATAACATTACAATCCCGCAGGTGGCCGCTGGTAATGGTTTTGAATATTTAGGTAAATTCTATGATTTTGGATGCACTAACAATAAGCTAAAAGACAAGCTATGCACCAAACTGTCAAACATGTTGAAAATAATAACAGCGTTAAATGTAAAACCGCAAGAGAAACTTAAAATAGTGAAAACTTATATTCCATGTCAGCTAAAATTCGACCTCCGATCCAGCGACATATCGCTCACTTGAATTGGAAACAACCTTGACAACATGATAACTGAAGCAGTCAGAAACTGGCTCTCAGTTCCGATCAGTGGCTGCGTGGCTGAAATCTTGTCCTTGCCTACACGACTTGGTGGACATAACATAAAGTCTTTGAAAGACTCTGCCGAAGCGATGAGACTAAAGCTACGCAACTACCTCAAAACAAATGTAAATAAAGAGATCAGATGCCTTTGGCAAGAGTCCAACACTAACCACAGCAAAATAGATAATACGCTGAAAAACGCGGTCTCTCTAAAAGCGGCGGTGGTGGCTGCAGAAAATAGATGCATGGAGATGCAATACAAACATATTGAGGCTCTCCAAAGTCAGGATGTGATAATCAGATCCATTAAGAAACACATCACGGCCAAACAAATTTACCGGTGGTCCGAAGCCCTTGACGATCTCCCAGCAGCTTTATACAAATTCGTCAGAAAGTACTTAATACAACAGTTGCCGACCAATGCAAACTTATACAGATGGGGAAAAACAAACAATCAACAATGCCCTCTCTGCAATGTAAGTCAGACCAACAAGCATGTCCTGTCCAACTGTGGATCAGTTTCAGCACTGGCTCGATACACAAAAATGCATAACAAAATATTGAAGTTGATTGTTAACGCCCTGAGACTACAGAAGAGGCCCGACTGCGTCATCTATGCGGATGTAAACGTTGAAGAAGTACAACCAATATCAACCATGTTTGAATCGTTACGGCCAGACGTTGCCATCCTACATCGAGACACCATTGAGGTTCTCGAGCTCACGGTATGCCATGAAACGAATTTGGCCAACTCAAGAGAATATAAACTCAACAAATATAAGGACAGACTTATAACCAATCTCAATAATAATTTTAGTCAGTTCAAAATAATTATTAAAACAATTGAGATATCCCAATGGGTCTCTTTAACAAATTGAAGTTGCAATCAATTAACATGTCTTGGTCGGATTCATTCATAAAAACATTGATGGTGGCAATAACCTCATCATATGGCATCTACTGTGAACGTAACAACATGTAACAATCTTTGTGCCTCGTACACTTTTTGTACTTGCCCTACGCAATGAACGAAAAGTTTTATCACTAACAGCAACAACTTTCTCTATTTTAACCCTATTTTATTTAATCTCCATATACTACTTGCCCTACGCAATGAGCAAAAAGTTTTATCACTAACAGCAACAACTTTCTCTATTTTAACTCTATTTTATTTAATAATTTAAATAAAATAGAGTTAAAATAGAGAAATCTTGGTTTACTGGTTTACTCTTGGTTGAAATCTTGGTTAGCTTCCCGTACGTCTTGTTGATATTGTAATTTCTCGATTTAAAACTTAAAATTTCTTATTTATTCTAGTTATAGCATATTTAATTTCTACCGCAAAACTGTTAATTTGTCAAGTCACTTCTAAAAATATAAAAAATTGTTTAAATTAAATATTTTCAAACTGTTCTACTGTTTTGTTTTCCTGTCCTGTCTTATTAGTGCTTCGTCATCATGGCAAAAAATGTCTCAGCCGAAAGTTTTGAAGTTCTTGTGTCAAAAAGTTTGGACAAATCAAACGAAAATTTATTGAAATGTATAGATAAATTATTAGAAAAATCAAATGACAATCTGAAAAAAATTATTGATGTTTCCAATAAAAACCTAGAAAAATTGTTTGAAAAGTCAGACCAGAATCTAATTCTAGTATTAGAAAAATGTAATGACAACCTGCGCAAAATAGTAGCCCATTCCGAGAGCCTTATGAGCAAGCTGTTCGAAACAACAATAATCAGAATGGAAGCTCTAAGTAATAGCTTCGAAAACGCCGTTAAGAGCATGTCCGATGCCGTGACTGGTAGTATGAAAGAACTTCACTCCGCTATGTCAACACTGGCCACCAGTGTTACTGATTGTCAAAAGCAGGTAACTAAACTTACTGAATCTCCCATGCTTGAGACAGTGACTAGGGCCCTTTGGTCAGTGGAGCAGGAAAGGAAAGATGAAGAACGTCGGTCTAAAAATGTTATCATTTCCGGTCTCGAGTTGCAGCCAGGATGTAACGACAAAGATATGGTTTTATCGTTATGCGAGAACCACCTCACGGTCAAGCCAACAATTGCTAGAACTCGCCGTATCGGAAACCACAGGTTATGTGTCACGCTAGACAATTCATCGGCAGCTGAGGACCTGATTGCCTCATCAAGGATCCTCCGCTCTTCTTCAACAACAAAAGGTATCTTCATCAACCCTGACCTTTCCAAAAGGCAGGCCGAACAAGCCTTCTTGATCAGACAGGAGAGACGTCGCATCAGAACTACCAACAACAACTCTAAAAATGCCCAGCCCTTTCTTTCAGTCCTACAACAATAAACACATTCGTATGGCCTTAGCTAATGTTCGTAGCATTCAAAAGAAGCAAAATGATCTCAATTTATTTTTGTCAGTTTACAGACCAGAAATATTTTCTGTTATAGAAACATGGCTTACTCCAAATGATCCTGACAACTTATTTTTACCTAGCGGTTATTCTTTTGTTCGCAGAGATCGTGCAACACGTGGTGGCGGCGTGGCTTTCATCATCAATGACACTATTCAATACAAGATCGTTTCAATACCATCCCAGTTCTCCCACATAGAAATAGTTTCAATTGATGTTTCCATTTCAAAGAAAAATTATCGCTTCATCTCGTACTATCGAAGTGGTGGTTTTGATAAATCAGCAGAGGAATATGCGTTTGATAGTGCCAGGTGCATCAAAGAACTTAGCAAGGGAGATGTGATTTGCTTGTTAGGTGATTTCAATCTCCCACTAATTAATTGGAATAATTATTCTGCACCAAATAACGTCATCTACAATACTTTTATCGAACTTTTCAATGAATTAGGTCTCTACCAACTTGTCGATCAACCAACTCGTGGAAATAACATTTTAGATTTGATCCTATCCGATGATGCCAGCCTACTTGTCGAGTTAGAGATTTCCTGTCCATTTTCTTCCAGTGATCACAACTGCCTTACCTTTCAGGTTAACTGCATCACTCATAACTCAACTGACAAATTCTCTAACAATGATAACGACACTTCCTTTTATAATTACAACAGTGCAGACTTCACTAATATGAATGAATGCCTGAGGCTAATCAACTGGGACAATATTTTTCAGCACTGCTTCGACGTCAACACATGTTGGGACATTTTTGAGCGTTTGATAAACAATCTTATGGCAACTTACATCCCTCGATCTTTTCTGAGAAGCAAAGAACACAAAATACAGGTTCCCTATCAACTTCGTCAGTCTTATAAAGTAAAACTTCACTACTGGAAAAAATGGAAACGAACTTCTTCACCGGACGATAAAGAGCAGTATTTGAATATGTCACGAAAATGTTCTGGCTTAGCAAACAGTTACAGAATAGTCAATGAACATAAACTGCTTTCTAAATGCAATGTCAGAAGTTTTTACCAGTATGTCAACAAAAAAATGCTATCGCGTCCCAATGTCAGTAGTTTAAAGTTAGATGACAATAGCGTGACCTATGACCCGCTGATAATGGCCAATGCATTCAACAAATATTTTTCTTCCGTATTTACACATGATAACAACTCCAATTGTTCCATACCTTGTCTAACCAACAACTTGTTAGAAGATATTAGTTTCACTCCCCATACAGTTTATACAACTCTGCGTAATTAAAAAATTCAACCTCAGCTGGAACAGATGGTATACCGAATGTTGTCCTGAAGATGTGTGCATCTAACCTATCAGTTCCATTATTTCATATTTTTGATCTATCATTTAGAAATAACCAGCTACCAACTAAATGGAAATCTGCTATTGTTACTCCCATTCATAAAAAGGGTCCCACAAACCACCCCAGCAACTAACGACCTATTTCACTCACGAGTTCAAGTTGTAGAGCAATGGAAAAGATTATAAACAAAGTAATATTATCCTTTCTTTTAGAAAACAAACTAATTACGCATTTTCAACATGGTTTTCTACCTGGTAGATCAACCTGCACCAACTTAATGCAATTTTACAGCGACTGGATATCACTTTGTCAGAACAAAGAAGGCTGTGACATCATTTACCTCGATTTCCAAAAAGCTTTTGATTCTGTGTCACACTCGAAACTGGTCGGAAAATTGAGATCCTATGGAATAGCTGGTGATCTGCTTGCCTGGCTGTCGGACTTCTTGTCTCAAAGTTCCCAGCTTGTTAGAATTCAAAACAAATTATCCAATTCAGTATCGGTTACCAGTGGTGTCCCCCAAAGCAGTGTCTTGGGTCCAACTCTATTCATTGTCTTCATTAACGACATTGTTGAACGCATTTCATCTATTTCAGTTTCAAGTTTGCTATTCGCTGACGATATCAAATTATACAGCCGTTCATCCAACTCAGTTCAACTTCAACAGGCCATCAACGATATAACAGCTTGGAGCATCAAATGGCAGTTGCCACTCTCTCCGAGTAAATGCTGTCATTGCTCATTTCTTCCATCTTCGAGATCAACATTAGTTCCACATCAATATTATATAGATCAACATCAGTCAGTTGTACAAATGACTTCAGAGATCTTGGTGTGATAGTGGACAGCAAATTCAACTTTAATGCGCATATCAACAACATCACTCACAAGGCTTCTTCCCGCGCTCGCTTAATCGTCAAATGTTTCACATCTAAGAATAAGGATCTACTTGTGAAGGCTTTTTGCAGTTATGTACGTCCTCTACTTGAATACTGCTCACCGCTATGGAATCCGCACTACAAATATCAAATAACCAAGATTGAAAATGTCCAGAGAAGATTTACCAAATTCATTCCGTCAATTCGTCATCTTCCATATTTGTCTAGATTGCAAGCGGTAGGACTACAAACACTTGAGCGGCGTAGATTGGTTCTTGATTTGTGCTTGCTGTACAAAATACTACACAACCTCATCAACACAGATTTAAATGGTTTTTTCATCCCTTCACATTATCTGTCAACTCGCGGTCACCCATGTCGACTGCAAGATTTCAACGCTGGAGACAACGTAACAAAATATTTCTACTGTATCCGGATTATCCGAGTGCGGAATGCATTGCCGGCAGACGTAGTGTCTTCAACTTCACTTGCTGTCTTCAAAAATTATTTACTCACTATTGATTTAAATAGATTTTTAATTATAATGTGATTTATTGTTAAATTACGTTTAATATTTACATATATGCCTAACTAACTCTGTTGGCTAAAACTGTCATATCATTTACCAATTATAATATCAGTAGTACATTTTTTAAATTATGAAGTTATCTTCTATGTTTGACCATAAACTTTTTCATTATTCATTAAGATCATTGTGCATCGATCTCTGTTATTATCCTATGTTTTTACTTAATTCATAGACGTACGATTCATCTTTCGAACATTTTTTTTCATTTTTCTTACCGGATAAGTGGTTTCTTTTTAGCCCTCTGGTTTTGTGAATAAATAAATAAATAAAATAAATAAAATAAATATCCATATACTACCATATAATTTCGCGTGTTAGTGATTTGCTTTAGCAAAAAAAATCTTCTGACAGCATAGAGACCATGTCTCCATTCCAATAACTAGATTTTTTCATTTTCATTCAACTGCTCGTCGTAAGTTTGATTGTCCCATTTTGGTCTTCTTGGTATACGCAGCAGTGACTTCAAATCAATTAGAATTTTTTGCGTTTGTGCTGATACTTCAACAGGCGGAACCAGGTTATCACATGATATTAAAATTGAATTGTTTACAATTTTTTGTTTTAAATCTTCACATCTGAACATCAACGTATTTATAGCATCAACAATTTGAAACAATATGATAATTTTGATTTTTTTGCATTTTTCGCGTCACCCCGTCGCGTCAGCTTTTTGATTGGCCTTTTTCTTTGTTAAGTTCATTGATAGCTGATCAAGTTCATTCGCATATACTTTTAAATCTTCACATCTGAACAACAACGAATTTCTAGCATCAACAATTTGAAACAACGTGACTTCAAATAATTTTGAATTTTGATTGTTCGTTGATTTTTATATTATAAAACTATGCTGTTAAGGAAGAGAGAAATTGGTGTCAAAAACTTCTCGAATTTCTAAAAGATAAGAAACATCAAATTATGCAAACACCCTATATTGTAATTGTAGTGGTGTATTATAGTGTCCGTTAAACTATATATGACTAATATGACTATATATAATGAAAATGAATGAAATATATAAATATGGAAAAATATTTAAATTTAAAATTTATATTATATATATATATATATATATATATATATATATTCATATACTTTGATTGGCCTTTTTCTTTAAGTTCATTGTAACTGATAAAAACAACAACTGGTGCCTAGAATCAACAATTTGAAACAATGTGACTTCATGTTTTTTGGTCTTCGCGTCATCCCGTTTTTATATCAGTTTTCTTTGATTTTTATATTATTTTCGTTTTGTTTAGGATCATTAGGTATTATGCCAGTTTTTGAAATTAAATTACAAACAATGGCTGTTACGGAAGGATAATTTTTCATTTGATCAACTGGTAATATGCTATTTGTAGCCACAATTATAATTTTTCAACAAATTTATCAATATCATTAATCGTGCCTCTGGTGTCAAGAACTTCTTGAATTTCTAAATGATAAGAAACGTCAAATTAAGGAAACACCATTACAATCATTACCTGATGCAAAAAATTCTGTAGAGCCTTCAACATCAGCTTTCTGTTTGGCCTTTTTTTTGTTAAGTTCATTTGTAGCTGATCTGAACAACCACGAGTTCCTAACATCAACAATCTGAAACAATGTGACTTCATGTTTTTTGGTTTTCGCGTCATTCTTCACATCTGAACAACAACTGGTTCCTAGAATCAACAATTTGAAACAATGTGACTTCATGTTTTTTGGTCTTCGCGTCACCCCGTTTTTATATCAGCTTTCTGATTGGCCTTTTTCTTTGTTAAGTTCATTTGTAGCTGATCTGAACAACCACGGGTTCCTAGCATCAACAATTTGAAACAATGTGACTTCATGTTTTTTGGTCTTCGCGTCATCCCGTTTTTATATCAGCTTTCTGATTAGCCTTTTTCTTTGTTAAGTTCATTGATAGCTGATCAAGTTCATTCGCATATATTTTTAATTTTTCACATCTGAACAACGGATTTCTAGCATCAACGATTTGGAACAATGTGACTTCAAATAATTTTGAATTTTGATTGTTTGTTTATTTTTATATCATGCCTATGGCGAAGATTTGGTACTTTCGTTTTGTTTAGGATCATTAGGTATTATGCCAGTTTTTGAAATCAAATTGCAAACAATGGCTGTTAGGGAAAGATAATTTTTCATTTGATCAACTAGTAATATGCTATTTGTAGCTACAATTATAATTTTTCAACCAATTTATCAATATCAATAATCGTAATTATAATATCAATAACAGACAGAAATTGGTGTCAAAAATTTCTTGAATTTCTAAATGATAAGAAACATCAAATTAAGTAAACACCATTACAATCATTATCTGTTGCAACAAATTCTGTAGAGCCTTCACCATCAGCTTTCTGATTGGCCTTTTTCTTTGTTAAGTTTATTTGTAGCTGATCTGAATAACAACGTATTTCTAGCATTAACAATTAGAAACAATTAGGTATTATGCCAGTTTTTGAAATCAAATTGCAAACAATGGCTGTTAGGGAAAGATAATCTTTCATTTGATCAACTGGTAATATGCTATTTGTAGCCACAATTATAATTTTTTAACAAATTTATCAATATCATTAATCGTGCCTCTGGTGTCAAAAACTTCTTGAATTTCTAAATGATAAAAAACGTCAAATTAATTAAACACCATTACAATCATTACCTGATGCAAAAAATTCTGTAGAGCCTTCAACATCAGCTTTCTGTTTGGCCTTTTTTTGTTAAGTTCATTTGTAGCTGATCTGAACAACCACTAGTTCCTAACATCAACAATCTGAAACAATGTGACTTCATGTTTTTTGGTCTTCGCGTCATTCTTCACATCTGAACAACAACTGGTTCCTAGCATCAACAATTTGAAACAATGTGACTTCATGTTTTTTGGTCTTCGCGTCATCCCGTTTTTATATCAGTTTTCTGATTAGCCTTTTTCTTTGTTAAGTTCATTGATAGCTAATAAAGTTTATTCGCATATATTTTTAATTCTTCACATCTGAACAACAACGGATTTCTAGCATCAACAATTTGAAACAATGTGACTTCAAATAATTTTGAATTATGATTGTTCGTTTATTTTTATATTATGCCTATGGCGAAGATTTGGTATTTTCGTTTTGTTTAGGATCATTAGGTATTATGCCAGTTTTTGAAATTAAATTACAAACAATGGCTGTTAGGGAAAGATAATCTTTCATTTGATCAACTAGTAATATGCCATTTGTAGCCACAATTATAATTTTTCAACCAATATCAATATCATTAATCGTGCCTAGAACAGACAGAAATTGGTGTCAAAAACTTCTTGAATTTCTAAATGATAAGAAACATCAAATTAAGTAAACACCATTACAATCATTATCTGTTGCAACAAATTCTGTAGAGCCTTCACCATCAGCTTTCTGATTGGCCTTTTTCTTTAAGTTCATTTGTAGCTGATCTGAACAACAACGGATTTCTAGCATCAACAATTTGAAACGATTAGGTAATATGCCAGTTTTTGAAATCAAATTGCAAACAATAGCTGTTAGAGAAAGATAATCTTTCATTTGATCAACCGGTAATATGCCATTTGTAGCCACAATTATAATTTTTCAACAAATTTATCAATATCATTAATCGTGCCTAGAACTGACAGAAATTAGTGTCAAAAACTTCTTGAATTTCTAAATGATAAAAAACATCAAATTAAGTAAACACCATTACAATCATTATCTGTTGCAACAAATTCTGTAGAGCCTTCACCTTCAGCTGAAAAATTTTCTCCCTGTCTGAAAATTTCAACAAAATTTTTCAAAAGTTGTCCTGTTTGAAGCATCAGGCAGACTAACGTGGTAGTCATCATCAAATCTATCATCACGCAGTAAGTGTTGATCAACATTTTCACGTTTCCCAGCCAATCCTATCATCCAAACTCTGTATTTTGAATAGTTCAATCTATCAATATTTATTAATAAATTATTTAGAACTGGTTTGTCCGTATTTGATGAAGCAGTTTCATTTTTGCTATCAATCACATCTATGTCGTGAATTAATATGAGGCAAGGCTGCAATGAGATAGCTTGATCGAACAACTTTTGAACATTTTTACTCTTATCACTAACAACACCCACCATCAACTGCCAATGGCAGATCAAGTTCGGCGGCAATGCACATGGCCAGTGTATTCTTCCCACAACAATTCGGACCAAATATGAGAATTTCTCTAGAGCACAAGTTCAGTCTCTTCAGCTTAAATGGCAACAAAGTAATCTTTAATTTATCAATGATGTCATCCGTTCCAACAAGATCGCCAAATTTTTCGTGTTCCTAGCATCAAAAATTTGAAACAATGTGACTTCATGTTTTTTGGTTTTCGCGTCCTTCCGTTTTTATAGCAGCTTTCTGATTAGCCTTTTTCTTTGTTAAGTTCATTGAAAGCTGATCAAGTTTGTTCGCATATATTTTTAAATCTTCACATCTGAACAACAACGGATTCCTAGCATCAACAATTTGAAACAATGTGACTTCAGTTTTCGGAACCAAATTGCAAACAATGGTTGTTGGAGAAAGATAATCTTTCATTTGATCGACTTAATATGCCATTTGTAGCCACAATTGTAATTTTTCAACAAATTTATCAATATCATTAATCGTGCTGCTGTCTCCACAGACAGAAATTGGTGATTGTTCGTTGACCTTTATATTATGCCACTATGCCAATGGCGAAAATTTGGTATTTTTGTTTAGGATCATTAGGACAATTTTTGAAATCAAAATTACAAACAACGGCTGTTGGAGAAAGATAATCTTTCATTTGATCGACTGGTAATATGCCATTTGTAACCATCTCTGCTTTTGAAGCCACAAAATTTGGCAAAGTTACAATTGGCTGTCTAAAATGTTTTGAACAAGCTTTGTTTTACCAAGCGTAGCTGGCAAAAGAGCCTGATAGTGTTTTGCTTTAGCAAAAGAATCTTCGACAATTCTATGTGCCAATAAAGCATTAAATGTTGAACTTTTTCCAGCATTTGGGTAGCCAACTAAAGCATGGAGACCATGTTTCCATTTCCAAAACAAGGTTTTTTCATTTTCATTCAACTGCTTGTCGTTAGTTTGCTTGTCCCATTTTGGCCTTCTTGGTATACGCAGTAGTGACTTAAATCATTTTGAATTTTTGGCATTTTTGCTGATTCTTCAGCAGACAAAACCAGATTATCACATGATATTAAAATTGAATTTTCGCGTTCAGTAGCAAACTCTGTCACGGGTAACTCGGCAGTAGAAAAAAAGTAGTAGAGGGTGTTCTCTTCTGTGATCGATCTAAAATTTATTTTTTTCCAGTCTAATCCACCATATAAATCAGTGGTGCGAAGATCGCTAGGCATTTTTTCGGTCACCAAACCAATTTTTATTTAACAATTTTTATTTTATTTAACGTATTCTAAATTCTTAAGAAACAAATTCATCATGATGAGACAAGCTAATATGTATTTCAAAATGTATTTCATATGTATTTCTGGTCTTGTGGAGCAATCAGGAATCAATGACAGAGATATTGTGCTGAATCTCTGTGAGAAACATCTGGCGATCAAACCACAGGTCATTAAAACACGTCGTATTGGCAGCTCAAGGCTATGTGTTACCTTGTCCGGACCATCGGCAGTAGATGATTTAATATTCTCTTCCAGGATCCTACGTTCAAAGCCTGATACGAGGAATATTTTTATAAACTTTGATTTGTCAAAAAGACAGGCAGAACAAGCTTACATCAAGCGCCAGGCACGACGCCTTGCCAAATCAGCCGGTGACAAATCTAAAGCGGAGGAGACTGATAAAGGACAGCCCTTTCGTTAAAATCAGGCCTCTTCGGTTGGCCTTAACTAACGTCAGAAGCTTACAAAATAAAAAGAACGACTTAATTTTATTTCTATCGGATTATGATCCGGATATTTTTTCTGTTGTTGAGACATGGCTCTCTCCGGATGATTGTGACAGCTTGTTTTTACCTCCCGGATACGTTTTTGTTAAAAAAGATCGTGGATCACGTGGTGGAGGCGTGGGCTTTATCATTAAAAACTCAACATCTTTCAAAGAGGTCATAATACCAACTAAATACTCGCACATCGAAATAGTATCTATTGATATTACCATATCATCTACGCATCACCGCTTCATATCATACTATCGCCCTGGTGGTTTTGACAGGTCGGCTGATGATTATGCCACTGATAGCATACAATGCATTAGAGAGCTGTGTAGAGGTCATGTCAACTGTCTGTTAGGTGACTTCAATCTTCCACTCATCAACTGGACCAATTATTCTTCACCAAATAACTCAATTTATAATTCATTTATTCAACTTTTCAACGAACTTGGTCTGCAACAACTGGTTGATCAGCCCACTCGAGGTCAAAATATCCTCGACTTGGTACTTTCTGATGATTCCAGTTTACTGGCCGAGTTAGAGATTATCAGTCCGCTTGCCTCAAGTGATCACAACATCATCACTTTTCAAATCAACTGTTTCATCAACAACCCACCAGACGTCAACCCATTCATCAAAACGTACTCCTATGATTTTAACAGTGCTAATTATAATGATATAAATAATTATTTGTCTAATATAAATTGGAATTATCATTTTCAGCACTGTTTTAATGTCAATATGTGTTGGGACACATTCGAACAAATAATCAACCACGCAATATCGATTTTTGTTCCCAAAATTGGACGTAGTCAATCACCGTCTCAACATCAAGCTCCTAGGGCACTTCGCTTATTATACAAAACTAAACTTTATTTTTGGAGGAAATGGAGAGCAAGGTCAAATCCAGTTGATAGAGAACAATATTTGAGGATTTCCTGTTACTGCTCTAACTTAGCCAATCTACACCGCAAAAATAAAGAAAACCAATTGCTGTCTAAAGCGAATGTTAAAAATTTTTATCGCTATGTCAATAACAAACTGTTTTCCAAACCCTTGATAGCCAGCCTCCAAATTAACAATAACAACAATACAAATGGTAGTATCAGCAATAATAATAATAATTTTGTTGTGGACGAGTAAAAATATATAGTACAGCCTTAATACGATTGAGTACATCATCATGCTTCCGAGTTGATGTTGAGATAGTTGGTACTGAATGGTTGGTGGTTGTCGTAGTTGGTTGGTTGGTGGTTGGCATGTTGTTTCTGTACTGATTCGACGGTTCGAGATGACTGGATTCCATCATTCTATGTTCCTATGTTTATTATTAGTTAGCGATGATTATTATTACGATGTTAGATGTGTGAGTATGGGTGTGTGTTTGTGTTTAGTGTTTAAATAGTATGCGGTGTAGTGGTTAGTTGATTGTGTATGCTTGTAGGATGTCGTTGTGGTTTTGGATGCATCCATGTAGGATTAGAGTGGTGATGATTTCTTCGTAGAATGAGTTAAGTTGTCTGTTGTATGGTCGAACGATTATGAATTTGTTGTTGTTTTTGTTTCTGGTTTGAAGAATGTTCTCGTTGATGTTGTTCTGGTTGTCATTGTTGGCGTCTTGGTTGTTTGTCACCTCATTTGTAATGCTGTTATCAGATTCTGTTGTGCTATTGTTATTGTAATTGTTGGTATTGTTGTTGTTGTGGTTATCTGATTCTGCGGTGTCGTTATCGTTATAGGTGTTGCTATTGGTTGGGTCGTTATAGTTGGTGAGAATTTCGTTGATGAAGGTGTTGTTGATGGTTTGTTCGTTATCTTCTACATCTTCCTCATTGTCGCATGTGATGTTAGAAGTTTGTGTGTCGGTGTCGTCGTCGGTGATTGTGTTGGTGTTCATGTTTTCATTGTTCGGGTTGTTGTTGTTGTTGGGTTTTGGTGAGATCTTTGTGTATTGCTCTGCGATGGCTTTGAAATGTTTTTTGAGTTTTTGGTAATTATATCCTCTTTGCTTGAGTCTGTTGATAAGTTTGAAGCTACTCTCTTTGAAGTCAATGAACAGTGATGAAATGGATGCGTAGCGTTTGATTTGTGATGTGACGATTGATTTGAAGGTGTGTGGTGGATGGTGTGAGTTGTGGTGTAGTAGATCGAAGGTGTTGGTTTGTTTGAAGAAAGGTTTTGAATGTAAAAAGGGTGAGTGTGGGATATTCTTAAAGATAGTGGTGTCAAGAAAGTTGATGTGTTCAGAGTGTGTTTCAAAGGTTAGTTTTATAGACGGGATGAGATTATTAGCAATAGCCACTATTTTTTTGAGTTGTTGTGTAGTGCCGGTGAATGTGAAAAATATGTCATCGATGTATCTATTGTATGCGTTGATGTGTTGTTTGAAGTGTTTGTTGAGGGTGTCGTCTAGGTGATGTAGATAGAGATTGGCTAGGGTGGGAGAGAAGATTTTTCCCATTGCGCATCCATTTGTTTGTAAGTATTGTTGATTGTTAAAGATGAAGTCGTTGTTGTCGAGTGAGATTTGTAAGAACTTAATAGTCATGCAGTTGTACGGATTGTGTGGCATGTATTTTTTGAGGAATTTTCTCACGATGGCGATGGAACGTTTGTTGATCATGTTTGTGTAGAGTGAGGTGATGTCTGCCGTGACGAGTATTTGTTGTTGGTTTGTTCTACATTTGGTGATGTTATTGATGAATGTAAATATGTCTTTGGTGATGGAGGGTAAGTGTTGGGTGATGAGTTTCAGTTGTGTTTCGACGAAGATGGATAGGTTTTGGTTGATGGAGTGAGTGTCTGACACGATTGGTTACTCCTAGTGGAGTAAATTCATCGAGCCATTTGCTTCTCTCCTTGTGTACCTTGGGTAGTGTGTAGAAGTACCTGTTCCTGAAGTTGGTTGAAGGTGAGAGCCACTTGTGTAGCTTGCTGGTTATAATTTTGTTGGCTTTCATAGTATTAAGATATTGCATTATTTCCCGGCGGTTGTCAATTTGTGTGTTGATTTTTTTATAAAATTTCAAGTCCGATAGTTGTATTTCCGCTTCCCGAATGTAGTTGTCTCTATTGAGGATAACGAAAACTGACCCTTTGTCAGCTCTGCGGATGATGATGTTTTTATTGTTGATTAGATTTTTTAGATGTAAGTGTTGTTTTTTGCTGATGTTGTGTTTTTTTGTGTTGTTGATCAATGTGTTGCTATTTGTGAAGTTTTTCGTGATGTATTTTTTTGTAATGTCCTCGATTTTGGTGATGGTGGTGATGCATCTGTGGGATAGTATGTTGTTGTGTGGCGTCCATGTGGACTTGATATGTTTGTTGAGTGTGTTGAGAAAAATGTCGTGGTGGTTGTTGAGTTGATGGGTGTCTATAAAATCTCTAATCTTGAGGTCGCGAATGATCTTGTTGATGCTGTTTTCGATTTTGTGTTTGTGTATGATATTGTTGCTCGGAACGAAACCTAGTCCGTGGTTAAGGATGTTGGTTTGTTTCTCTGTGAGTGTTGTTCTGGAGAGGTTGATGATGTTGTTGTTGAGGATGTTGTTGTTTAGTGTTTGTTTTTGTTGTTGAGTTTGTCGTCGTGTTTGTGTTGGATGTTGTTGATGCGTTTGTTGTTGTTGTTGTTGTGGAGGGTGTCTGGCATTGTTAGTTTTTTTGGGGTTGTCGCAAAAAGTCCATGATGTTCTTTGTACGTTTGCTGTTGGGTTGTAGTGATGATGATGGATTGTTGCCGTTTAGGTTGAATGTTTTGTTGATTTCTTTGCTGTACGGTGTGGTGTTGTTGATGATGGAGTTCATGTCAAAATCATAGAGAAGATTGTCATCGTCACATCATGAACAACGACCATACTATCGCCATCATTATTTTTGTAGTCTTTTGCACTCTTACGTTTCTTCGTTTTATCTCTCACAATATCCAGCCCAGTTATCTTTTGACAGTGCTTCATTAAGTAACCTAATCTTCAATCTTTTAAGTAGAGTTAGGAAATCTTTTTTGACGTAGTGTTGCATTAAAGTCTTGTCAATCAAAGAACACGCCCTAACTAAAGTTTCAAGAGCTAAATGTCGATTTACATAGTTTTTATTCACTAAAAATTCAGCCTCTCCGACAAATGGCTTATGGTCTTTTTAGGGCATGAGTCGTCAAGCTTTTGAATAATTTCTCAAACAAATTTGTATAACAAAGCATTTAATTTATTTTTCGGACCAATTTTGTCCTTCGCTTTCAATTTATCATCAACTTATCATTTACCTTCGTGTATTATTACCACCACCACCACCATTACCACCACCACCATTACCACCACCACAACTACTACTACTATCGTCGTCGTCGCCATAATCGATTGAGTTTATTACGTTATAAATATTAGTATTATTATTATTATTGTTGTTGATGTTAGTCATATTATTATTATTATTTCTATTATAATTATTATTAATGTTGTTATCCTCGTCGTTAAGTTCGACTTAATTAACATAATTACTCTGGTTGCAATCATTATCAAAACACAATGCAACAATTATCATTATCATCGCAATTGCGTCCATCTTTGAAATTAATATTAATGACCGCAAAAACCCCATCATCATTATCATCTCTGTTCCCTTCATCTACCTGCCTGTCTTCTCCATCTACCTGCCTGTCCCCTCTATCCAACTGTTCACAACCACAAGTTCAGTCTCTTCAGCTTGAATGGCAACAATGTCTTTCCACGTGAAATCTGGGATCGAGATTGTGTCTTCTACCATCGTCGTTGGTTTCACAATACACAGTGCTTTTACAAAATCATTCAAATCAACAGAGAATGACTGATTTGAACAACTTTTTTGCCTAAGTAAGGATTATAGAATCGCTTTTTCACTAATTTTCTCAAATCTCGGCATGAATATGAAGGTGGATAATTATTCTTTCATGCAGCAT